GTAAAAATTGCTTCTGTGATATGAACATTATAGAATAAGGCAAATGTATGGATCCTTAAATCAGTGTACCTGCCTTTTCTTCCTCCGGCTATTCAATAAATGACCAAACCCACCAGTCTGGGAGGAAAAGTTTGTAACATTTTTTTATTAACAGATGGGCACGTTTTTATTTCTCCCCTGAGACATCTCCCCCCCCCCTCCAACAACAAGCACATTTTTAAAATAACAAGAGTGTAATAGTAGCTTGGGGATTTGGCAGGAAGAAAAACAAAACAAAACGGTGTGCTGACATAGCTTATGTTTCTTGCTGGAACTGCAGACAATATGCTTGAAATACTGGATGTTTACAGGAAAGGTAGCCTGTTATCATTTTGTCCCTACCTCCCCTCCCAAAAGTGCCCCATGAATGAGAAGATGAGAACTTAGAAGCAAAAATCTCAGAGGCAAAAATATCTGGGGTAAATTGCAGCAGATTGGCAAATAGCTACAATTTTGCTCCTGTTGCTTAACACCTGCACTTAAAAATATTTTGGTTAACTCAGATGTAGCTTTCATTCCTTGCCTGCTGTTTACAGTATACCAGCGTTAGATTCAAGGGATGGTGCAGTTAATTGATCTGTCTTCTAAGTAATCATTTTATACTTTTATAAATATGAATATATATTTTATATTCAAATGAAAAACAAAATAGACCTGCAAGTTAGCGGAGTGTTTGTCAACCTCAACAACTTTAAGATGTATGGATTTCCACTTACAGACTTTTCCCAGCCAGCATTTCCTGCGTGGGTTTATCTTGTTCAATTCAACATCAGGTATAAGTAGTCCTCAACTTATAACCATTTATTTAACAATGGTGCAAAGTTACAATAGCCTTGGAAAAAGTGTTTATGAGCTACATTCACACTTATGACTATTGTGTCAAGGGATCACACTCTGGGCACTTGGCAACTGACTCACATTTACGACTGATTGCGGTGTCCTGCAGTCGTGTCATCACAATTCGTGACCTTTTATGCTCATTCTGGCAAAAAAAATACCCATCTGCCAGGGAAGCTGGATTTGTTCAACGCTTCATTTACTTAATAACTATATTATTCACTTAAAGATTACAGTGATTCACTTTGTGAATGTGGTAAAAATGATCATAAAATTGACAATGCCTTGAATTCTGACTGCTGGACTTATGATGGAAATTCTGGCCCCAAGTGTAGTTGTAAATTGAGGATAACCTGTACCAGAACTAAAAACTATATATTTCTGTAATATAGGTAGGAATAGCTTCATCACTGGAAGCCTTCAAGAAGAAATTGGACTGCCATTTCTCAGAAATGATGTAGTCTCCTGCTTGGCAGGGGGGGGGGGGGGGGTTGGACAAGGTCCCTTCCAAATCTGCTAATCTGTATCACCTGTGGGAATTGGAAATTTAGCCACTAAATTCATGTGACCTACAAATATAGCGACTTGCATTTACATTTCCCTGAATTCATTAAAGTATAAAATATGGTAATATGCTATATGTTGTACAGCTAGTGTAAGAATATTAATGAGTGTTATTATTTATGTCTGTAAAATAAAATAAATGAATTGCAACTCATTACACCATGAGGAATGATGGGATTTTATTAGTTATATAAGCAATGTGCAGGTATATCTGGCAACAATCATAAATTATGGGAAAATTAAAATGTACCATGTGAGGTCTATGTTTAATTAAGTATATTTAATTAAGTATTAATTAAAATAAGGGTTATTTAATAACTTGAGATTTTCATTCTGAGTTCCTCAAGTTGCTGTGCATAGTATGCTCATAGATACTACTCTTCGTACTTATTTGTGCGTCTTCAGACTTCTTATGTGATTTATTTAAGATATTTTAAGAAAATAACCAGTATGCTAGCCTACTGTACAATGATAACTTACAACCTCACCTTTATTTCCAAGAATACTGTTGGACCACATTATTCTTTTTTTCCTGAATGGTTTTTCCTGAATTGGGACAGGTGTGTTTTTGAATGGGAGATGTTACTTCTGCTTTGTCCTTAGATTTATCCACAAATTATTTTTGTTTGGTCTGAACAGTTTCCCTCTGGAAAATGACCATCTACAACTATCCACACTTTCCACAGCAGTCCTTTTATAAATGGAGATGTTCTCCTATGTGAGTTTTTTTTTGTGTGGGGGGGGAATACTCACAACTTTCACCGTTCTGAATAAAGCCTGGAGACTCATTCTTTCCTTCAATATTATATTCTGTCAGTATTCAAGGCTGACAGAATACAGAATTGGAAGGGACCTTACAGGTCTTCTAGTTGAATCCCCTGATCAAGCAGGAAACCTTATACCATTTCAGGCAAATGGTTGTCCAATCTCTTCTTAAAAACCTCCAGTGTTGGACGATCCAAGTTTCTGGAGGCAAGTCGTTCCACTGGTGAATTGTTCTAACTGTCAGGAAATTTCTCCTTAGTTCTAGGTTGACATTTTGACTAGTCACTCCTAATCACAAAGAACAGCTAATTTTTCACAATTGTTATTTTACGATATGGATGAATATCTAAATGAGTTAATTCCATAATTATAGTGACTCCAAAAAATCTTTATTGTTTCTATTCATTTCTCCCCAAAAGACCAGAAGTGGTCTCTTGATTTCAAATGAGAGTAGTCAAAGCTGCAACTTTATACATTATAGAAATAAACACAAGGACACAAGAATATTCTCTGGCTGGATTTCAACATAGTATTGTATTTTCCCAGCTGGATTGCTATAGCAACAAGTCTACTCTGGAAAGCATATGTTCCAAACAGAACTATTTATAACTTTGTTCTTTATTAGAGAAATTATTTTTGGAATGGCTTGAGTCACACACAGAGACCCTTCCCTTCTTAATTAACATTATCTACGGCATGTACAAACATCAAACTGAAGTTTTAAATCAGTCTGAAGAGATTTTATAATGACTATTTTATAGCCACATTGAATTTGTGTGTAAGTTAATTGTTGAATAAAAAGAATGGTTTAAACAAAATATTGAATTCATCTTTTTCTGCTCAAATATCAGCTGCCACTGAAACTGGAGATATTTGCACATCTATAGCATATTTACATTGAATCATTATCAGTATTGCAGCACTGGGGGGAGGGTAAAGAAATGCTATATGCTTTGGTACGTCACAATACAAATACCGCTTCTCACTTTTTTTTTCTTGTTACAACCCTATAATCCCTTTGGTTTGGGGTAGGATCAGGGAGACTGAGTGGTGCTGAGCATTTACTGGCCTTATGCCCTTCCTGATTCCTACACAGAGTTCACAGCAGATATTTTCTCTTTGCGCCCGGATAAACATTTGTTGCTGCCTAGGATTGAACTCTAAATCTTCTGAGTGGTAGATGAGCATCTTCACCTCTCACATACTTGCATCATAATAAATGTTGTGACATTTTGTGGTCTTTGGCGCTAGTTATACTTGTCTATGGCTGAATGAATTGCTCTTTAAAAAGCTTAAGAGAACTATTAAGGAAGCAGTGTGCTTGTTTGTCTTGTATTATTATAACTGCTAACCACTTGGGGACTAAATGTGTGTTTAAAAAAATGTGTGATTTCTAATCCACATCTTGATAAAAATGTTAGTTTGCTCCATTGAGGCCTCATCCAAATCACATGACATATATTGCTTGTTATAGAAGTGATGTGGCACATGTTGAGCAGGGTTGTCCTACACGCTACCTGAAGCATTCCTCACATAACAATCTCTTGTTGCTTTCTTGGTGGTATATAGCAAATTAATGTACATAGTATGGTGGAATGAAGTTTGGATTCCCTACATTGTAGGGGAATAAGAAACTGATATTTAGATAGTTTGGTTGGGAAAAAGAAGGTCAGAGTAGCTCCTCCTTATAAGTTGTCAGCGTATATCTTTAATAATGTGAGTAGTTGCTTTAGTCTAGTAAATGTTGTCTATACACGAAGAACAATAAAGGTAACTACTGAGACTCTGCATGTCTTTCTTGGTTTTTGGAGCCTGACATAAAGGGAAGGAAGGGCACCTTCCCAGATTTCTTTCAACAAATACCAGGGGTGGGATTCAACCAGTGTCACTACTGGTTCGGTACTTACGTTTTGCCACGCAAAGCAGCTGAGGTTGAAAAAGCAGGAAATAAATGTCAGGTAAGAGCCCGGGTAGGCGGGTGGGCCAAACAGCAGCAGACACAGAACCGGTTCTGTGTCTGCTGCTCTTCAGAGCTACCAGTTCTACAGAGCAGAACCGGTAGCATCCTACCCCTGCAAAATACCCAGTAAATATGTTGGATTGCAATTTCTAAAGTTCCCATCTATTGCAATTTCTGGAAAGCTGGAGAAATCTGTGTAAATGATCTGTCACTATAAGCAGAACCTCAACTTGGTGTGCATTAACATATGTCAATTTCTATGCAGCCTATTGATACCACAGAGATCAAATAAGGGCAGTATGATTGGTGAGCTATCAATTCCGACTTCTTTGTGGGAAGAAGAAAATTCAGGCAGTAACAGGCAGCTCTTTTGTATAGCTATTTAAAAACTACAAGAAACATCTATTAAACAAGGGGAAATGGACCTAACTAACATTGTCTATTGGAGTTAAAGAACCCACATCTGAAAGAAAAAGTTGTACTGTACATTGGGAAGTTACTTGATTTGTAAATCAAGTTAATTTACACGTGAAAGCTGCAGAAAACAGACTACTGTGGGAATGGAGCAGAAAAACATATCCTGAGGTCACTTTAAAGGTGAGTGGGAAATTAAAGTGGGTGGTATTGTCTGTTTCTGCCCTTGAAAAGCATTGTCCTGTCCATTCTGGTGAAGGAGCAACTGGACAATGTTGGTAAGTTGCAAGCCATTGATTCTTGAAACCTGTAGAGTAGGGTCTTACTACAGAGGTTGTATTCGGCAGGTTCTGATCAGTTCTGGAGAACAGGTAGTGGAAATTTTGAGTAGTTTGGAGAACTGGCAAATACCACCTCTGGCTGGAAATTTTACAGTATCCTTCCCCTGCCACGCCCACCAAGCCACACCCACAGAACTGGTAGTAAAATAAATTGAATCCCACCACTGTCTTACTAGCTGTTTTATTTCAATAAGTTACAGCTTCCAATGCAAAATAGGCATTGGAACTAAAACTAGTGGGTTCAAACTGTAGGTTTCAAGCTTTTGGGGCCAGATCTCCCTGCTTTGTACTTGGGCAAATTTCAACTTTATCATATTGCCTTTTGGAAAATGAGCATTTGTATAGTCATATCTATCACTGAATTCATTTGATGAATGGGGAACCCTCTCACAGCAGCCATTTTATGGGAATGCTCAAAATACATTCTCAAAGTTCTAAGATACTCACTGGCCCCCTAAAGTTTGAAGATCTCAGACTTAGATTGTATAAATAAAGAAAAAAAAACAGCGTTCAAAAATTCAGTAGAGTTGGATAGGATCAATTACATTTCCATTTCTTTCAGGCTTTATGAAGAGGAATCTTTACCATTGTAACAGTCAAGGAGTATAAACCAAAATGAAAGAAGATGAATGTCTCCAATAATTATGATTTGCTGGCATATATGTTCTTTTCTGTGGATAGAGATATTTAAGTAGCCTAAGCTGCATCACTTGATTTCTCTAGTCAATTATAAATGGAACAGACTGAAGCATTTTGTACTACTTTTGATGCCAAAAAAAATTGTTTTCTTTCCAAACAAAATCTCAGTTACAGCGTACAAAAAAAGGGCTTCAACCTAAATCTCACTATGGTTAAAATTGAATATGGAAATCTCTGGTGGGATAGAAATTAATATCAACTTTACATCTTAATTTTGTTTTTTAAAATATGAAGTGTTCATTTATTGGCAACAAGATTTTATATGCAAATATCTGGGAGCAAAAATCTCTGAACCAGATAAATGTATTACCTTTAAAATTAAGCTGTCCATCTTTGAATGTGCTTACAAATAATTACCTGGCTGTTTTTTTTTTTTACAAAATGCTTATGAATCCAATGCCTTCCAATAGCTTAGTGCTGCATAGCCAGCTTTTTATAACCCAGCTGTTATGTGCACATTTTCCTTATGAGTTAGAGTTAGATAATAAATGATCACTAAGCTTTCTGATCGCTAAGACTAGCAGAAAATGCAACCTAAGAATGATCTCAGATTACAAATAAAAACCAAAAGAGTCTAAAGGAATTTTGCACTGGACTTTCAGCAAATATTATGATCCGTCCTGCAGTTTTGCAGGGCCATGCTTCAGTATGAGCCAAATTTCCACCACAGTCTAAAACTGAATCACAAAGTACACATTGTAGCTCAGGGCTCAATCAGCATCCTAAAACACGAATTGTAAGTCATTGGTTAAAACAGTATAGAAAATTCTGTTTTCTGAGGTACTCCTTTCTTGTTTACTTACTGTCTTTGTCTCCATGGTGCTCTTGATCCATTCTCATAATGCAGCAGAAAAAGGAATAAAAGCAAGGCAAAGTCCCACTGCAACTGTTTGGACTTGTATTGTTTACAAAAAGTTCTGTGTTAGCAGCAGTTCAAAATCCCAGGCCAGCTCTTGCAACCACTCCCAGCGAATAAAACAATTTGGAAGCTGGTGATTAATCATCAGTCACTACGGAAATGAAGTCTCAGCTCTGCAATGCGAGTAAGAGTTGCACTGATCACTACTTGGAAAGACATCCTGTCATCCTCTACATAGGACATTGACTTTAATCTCTGTGTTTTACTTCTATTCAAATTTACAGAAAACTTTTAGGGGAAAAAATCACTGTTGCATAAGCAAAATGTACTACGTTCCCCAAACTTGTATTCCATTCAAGGTAGACCTATCTGTTTAATGCCCCCTATTTCTTGGGCTTAAAAACGCCTAATTCCTATTAATTTCAGTACTATGGGAATGAAACTGCAATATATCAAGAGAGCGCTCACCAGGGAAGAAAAGACTGCCTTCACGGACCACAAACGGACACACAATCAATCTAACATATAATGAGAGCACAGAGTTCATAGAAAAAGGAAAATCAATTTTCATTCTGCACTTAAGCTAATAGGAATATTCAGAATATGGGTAAGTTTCACGATCTCTAAAATCCATTCCTGAGAATTTTTTAAATCTTCTCTAGATCATTTCTTTTTCTGTTGGGGTCTTTTTAGTAGGTGACATGACAACTCCTTAACTTTCTGCACAGATCTCTAATTATTGGCATCTCTCACTGATATTACTAGACATGATCTTTGCAGATGCAGGCAAGCTTGGTTGGGCTGCTCTTCTCCTTCCTCTCCAGCTATCACTTTGCTCTTCAGCAGCTCAGTTCAGTTCAGTGGAGACTTTTCCATTCTGATTTGCTCCTCAATTCACTGGCACACTTTCACTTTACAAAAGAAAGCAACAATCTCATTTGTATCAGCTGGAGGGGAGAGGAGGGGAGAACACACACTCTCTCTCTATTGAACTTCTGACTTCCTTTTATTTTGCCATCATCAGAAGATGGGTTTGTTTGAAAGGAGAAGTTCAAGGTCTTGCTAGATATTATATTTTCCATACCACACTGACACATATAGAGCCCTGGGCAATGTCTTGACCTTGATTTCTTTTTCACTTTTGTTGCTGACTCTGTAGTGAAATCCCCTGTGTCTCCTTCTATATCACACATGCCCATCATGGAATAAGTTTTGCCTTCTGCTCTTTCTATGATTTTCAGATCATTGATCTACTGATTTTTTTTTCTGAAACACTGTCTTTTTTCCCCTCTTCTTTTTATTTCTGTTTGCTTTCCAAATTCTTCACTTACCACCAACAATTGATTCCCTTCAAGTCTTGATAAATTTGACTTTTAAGTCTCCAGCATTGGCTCCTTGCATCATTCAGTACATCATTTGCTCATCTAGGTCTAAAAATAAGCAAAAGCATTGACTTCATATAAATTCATGTTTTCTACCTGATTGGGGACAACAGGAGCAAAGGACAGCATGATAAAAGATGTGAAATGACATTATCATGCAAATGTCACTATCTATTTGCAACAGACACAGGCAAGAATATAATTGTAGGATTTGTGATAATGTCATTAAACATGTATCATTTTGGCAACATCAGTTTCCTGATCTACAAGATTAAATAGCAGGATTGTATCATTTTGATTTATGTAGTCTTAAGAAAGCTTCAGTGCCTAGTGTCTACCTTTGATACTCATACATTTAAATACTTTGCTAAGGTCAACTTTCCCTCTGCTCACTCACTTTTTCACTCTTCTTTTTACATCTATTCCTACTTCTTTACTTTTCTCCTAACTACTCCACAGTCCTCATTTGAACTGTCAATTTATATCCTTAAATTCCTTTCCATTTCTCTCCATCATGAGGTTTCCAGCAAATTCATATAGTTCTTTCTGTCTCTGATTCTTCTTTAAAACACACACTACCCCAGCCTCAAGAAATATCTTTATCTCATTTAGTTGTTTGTAAAATTTATTGACCACCCATCTTTTCATAGGGTAACTATCTTCATCCCGTTTTCGCTCTCCAGGTAGTTTTAGTTTTCTTTTGCTTTTAGTTTCTAATTCCTGATATTTACTCATGCCATCTCAACTTTTTATTCTCCAGGTTCACTTATGATCCTATCTAATGGCATTTTCACCTCTTTGAATTCTTCCTCATCTGCCACCACAACTCTCTAATGAGTGAAAATTTTCACTACCTCTAGGAAACTTCCTAATAATCATTCATTTTATGCCCTAAGGCATAAAAAGGTTTCCATATTCCATAAATAAGGTTTCTATATTCATGTTCTTGTTCTTCCGGTTATCTGACTGAACATTCAAAACTCTTTCTTCAGTTAAAATCTTTAAGCAGTGGGTTTATTTATCATGCCTTCACTCTTGACATTGTGCACTTTTTTTAGTTTCCGTCCTTATCAATATATTACTCCCTCTTCTGTATAAATATTTTGGTCTAGCCTAACTCCATTTCCATACCTTTCCATACCATTTCCAATGCTTTCTTAGCATTTCTGTACATGCTTCATGATCTTCAATATATTTATTTATTGTATTTAGAATCCACCCATCTCCCTCATAGAAGAACTTAATGATCCAAGCTCTGTAAAGGACCTTGGAATACTCATCTCTAATGATCTAAGTGCTAGAGCCCACTGTAACTACATAGCCAAAAAGGCATCAAAAGTTGTTAACCTAATCGTGCATAGCTTTTTCTCTGGTAATATCACACTACTAACTAGAGCATACAAAACATTTGCTAGACCAATACTCAAATACAGCTCATCAGTCTGGAACCCACATTACGTATCTGATATAAGCACAATTGAGAAAGTCCAGAAATATTTCACAAGAAGAGTTCTCCACTCCTCTACTCATTGTAGAATACCTTATGCCACCAGACTTGAAATTCTAGACTTAGAAAACCTTGAATTACGCCGTCTTCGGTCTGATCTAAGCATGGCATATAAAAATCATACATTGCAATGACTTACCTGTCAATGAATACCTCAGCTTCAACCATAACAACACAAGAGCACACAATAGATACAAACTCAAGGTTAACAGCACCAAACTTGATTGCAGGAAATACGACTTCAGCAACAGAGTGGTCAATGTCTGGAATATTCTACCTGACTCTGTAGTTTCTTCCCCAAACCCCAAAAACTTTAACCTTAGACTTTCTACTATTGACCTCACCCCTTTCTAAAGAGGTCTGTGGGGGGCGTGCATAAGCGCACCAACGTGCCTACCGTCCCTGTCCTATTGTTTCTTTTATTTTTCTTATATGTACCCATTTCATGTATTCATAACTATGTATATACTTATACCTATTATCTTGTAAGCGATTGACATATCAAATCAAATCAAATAAAAATAAACTCTATAATAATAAGGAAACCTTGAATCTTCTCTCCTCCAGAGGCTCTCTTCTTCTCATACCCTCTGATTATCCATTGACAATATCACTATCAACTCATGAATTGAAGTTTTTCTCTTCCTTAATCCACACATCCACACATTATATACCCCATCATATTCTCCTGTTTTGGGATAATCAATTTTATGCAAGGCAAAGGAAAAACAGTTAAATATAGGAGAAAACAGAGATTAATTACAGAGAGAGAAGAGGAGAAAAGACAAAAGGAAATCTAAGTAAATCTAATTATGTATTGGTGTCATTGTTTTTTGTTGTTTTGTCTTTTAGAAGGCCAGATTTATCTGATAAAAATTAAGAAATAAGTTTCTTTATTATTATAAGAGTCAGTAAATTGTTCAAACCACCAAAATGTGCAAAATGAAGGGAAATCATAACCTTAACTTTGTCAATAGCTGTAATTTCATTGCCAGGTTTGCTGCAGTTTCTCATGTTGAAATTGCATCTGAATAATCAGAGTGGCTTCCTGCATCCCAACAGCATTTCAGTAAATAATAGCATCTGGTCCTCCTAGCAGTAATGCTTTCATTAATGCACCCCTTATTATTTGTCATCATCCATATGTATGACTTATACTGTACTCTTAGGGGGACAATTTGACACCATGCTTCATCTTACTGTTTATCTTTTTTGTAGGTACCCTGCTACCAGGGTTGTGATTGATATCTGTAGGGGAGGAAAACATTATGAAAAATTAGCAGACTTTGGAATTATGCATTCACATGATTTGCACATCATTCATTGAATCCCTTTTAATACTGTGGCAATGGAAAATCACCAAAAACATAAGTTCAAGTGCTACTTTTTCAAGGAACATTATAAAGGGCATTGTGCAATCAAAGTCAATCCATCCACTAAGGAGATGAAATAAACCTTAGCAAATATCGAACAGTTGCATTGATTGGTTGATTGGTTTATTTCATCTCAGTCGAGGTAATGTTTTTAAACTTGTCATTCAGACTCAAATTAATGGATTCAGCATACTCAGTGGATGGACTCCCATCCTGTTTATGTTGGAGGCACCATTCAAGGGAGGAGTGTAAAACTCACAGCCCATGGGCTGGGTACATCACACACTGGCCACACCCACTCCTGGTTTAGTAAAGGGGGGGGAAGTTGCAATACATCACATGATGGCAATGTGGCATCATGAGTTTGACACCCCTGATTTAAAGCACTTCCAGGTTGAAAGAATTAGCCACTAATATCATCATTGCTCAGGGGATGCCCATTGGGGCTCCTTTCATGTCCTCATCAGGGCACTGGATGTCGGGAACTCACCCCTCCATACAGCAGCACTCAAGTCTTGAATACAGGTTTCCTAACCTCCAACCCAATTTGTAGCCCACTTTTACTTTATGCCAGACTGAAGGCTGTGAACATACTTCATGCCCATGCTTCCCATTTTCTCCACCTCGACAACCCTGTAAGTTGATGGGAACAAAATGACTAACTCAATATCACCCAGCCATCTTTCATGGCCAAGGGAAGACTTGAGCTTATGATCATTTTCTATCTCAGCATTTTAGACACTACG